ATGGTCCCTTACCTCCCGTGCCATGCGGCAGCCTCCAACTTCAAGTCAGCAAATCCGTATCCTGCTTTGTATCTTTTGACGTCCTCAACTTCAACCAGGTGGAGAAGACTCTCTGCTTTTTATTTTATTTTATTTTATTTTTATTTTATTGATTTTGTACAGAGAGGAAGGGAGAGAGATAGAGAGCCAGAAACATCGATGAGAGAGAGTCATCGATCAGCTGCCTCTTGCACACCCCCCACTGGGGATATGCCCGCAACCAAGGCACATGCCCTTGACCAGAATCGAACCCGGGACCCTTCAGTCCCCCAAGCAGACGCTCTATCCATTGAGCCAATCCGGTCCCGGCAGACTCTCTGCTTTTGAAGGGCTCTGTGAGGAGGTCAAGCACACCTGGATAACCTCCCTATGCCAAGATCAGCTGCCCTTATGGCAGTACCTGCATGGGCATTTGACTGACTACGCAGGAGAAGGTGTGTGTACGTCAGGGCCGAGAATCCAGGGGACCACCTTGGCATTCTGTCTGCCACGCCCACCTACTTCTGGGGAAGTTGTGAGGCCTAAGTCAGCAAGTGTAGGTAAGTACTTAGCACATACCCAGCAGGTTTCGAGTAGAGATTTGCAAGCAAAGAATTAGCCAGCTGAGTTCCCAGGGTTGGGGAGAACGTGGTTGGGGTGGAAGGCGCGTGTAAGGGGTGGGAGCCATGGGACAGCTGAAGAACATCCTCCAGATCTCTGCTGAGGGGCTTCATTTCGATTGATCTGAGACAGAAAGCCTCTCCTCCTTGGGTGAACAACGCTGACAGCCTCCCTGACGTTGCTGCGCTGACCATGGCCATGAGCCGGGCTCCGGACTGGCCCTCTCAGGAGCCATCTGCTCAGGGATGCTGACTTTCGGAAGAGCGAAGGTCCAGGGATCCAGAAACCCCTCACATCGTAGCTTTCCCCAAACCGGCCGAGCAGAGACCTAATTGAGGGAAGTAGGAGACAGAAGTGGATCCCCGCTCGCGCTTCTAACCGGTTGCACACAGGACGTGGAAGAGGCCACTTCCTTTCTCAGCCTGGCACCCCGGGCGGAGGACGGGACGGTGGTCCCAGGCCCCGCTGGCCCCGGGGACAGGCCACTGGCCATCACCCACGAGAAAGAACCCGGACTTTTATCCGTTCTGTGGGCTGCACTGCCTGCTCCCAACACATCTACGTTCCCAGTGGTCTGGGGCCAGCACGAGGTAAGCAGGAACAGAGATTAAAAAGAAAAAGTGGCGGCGAGAATCAAAAGCTTCGTTTTTCATTCCACGGACGCCATGGTGGGAAGGAGCTTTCCTTTCAAAACTGCCTAGATTAGACCACTCTCATCTCCAGCTGGTGCTCGGCCCTCTATCCCTCCCCTCCCTCCTAGATCTGCCTCAGCTTCCGGATTTTCTCAAAGCTTCTGGATCTTCTCAAAGCTCTCCCCTCCCCTCCCCCCACCCGCCTCACCCTGGAAAACTTGGGTCAACTGTCATTTCTGAAAAGCTACCCGTCTCTCTGCTGTGATGTCCAGAGAGAGACTCGGATTGCTCTCTCTCTCAGTGACAGCACGGAGACAGGAGGGAAGGGAGAGCCAGGAGCTTCGATGGCGGGAAGAGCACAGTGTCTGCACACTGAGAACCGCGGGGTCCGTCCCTGCAGGAGCCTGTAACCGTCCTGATGCCCGAGGACGATGCCGAGAGAGAAGAGCAGAGAGCGAGCGGAGAACTCAGGTCTGTGCTGTGGCTGCTGGAGTGTTCTCACCGGTGAGGCAGGACCCGGTCTGGCCTGGCCTATCAGGGCGAGCGGAGTCCAGAGGAGCCAACCAAAGACCCGTGGGCGGGAAGACCAGGCGGAGCACCCGTGTTGTGACATGTCAAAGGGCAGCTGTCTTCTGGCCCCGCAGCTCGTGTGCGGGGGGGGGGGGGGGGGGGGGGAGAAACCGGAAGCTCGGCCTCTAGGATGCCAGGGTAGGAACACCCCAAACAGGAGTTACCTGGGCTCCAGGTCAGCCCTGCCTCCCATCACCCCTGAGAAAGGAAAGCTTCGTTGGGTTGCTGGGTCCGTGGCCCGAAACCGTGAGGACTGCCTTCCCCTTGTTCCTTTGCTCCCCGTGCTGCTCTCTCCTCTTCGAGATTCAAGACAGGTGTCCCCATGCCTGAGGGAGCCTGCTCGCCCACCGCCCACCCACTGTGATCAGGGGCAGAAACACTCCCCCATCACAGTTTAACCTGGATGGTGCCGCGTCTAGTGACATTTTGAGGAGGAAAGAGAGGAGGGGAGGGGACAATAGCGGGTCCAGGAGGTTCGCAGAAAGCCCGTCGGATGACACGTGCACAACCCACCCCGCACTGCATGTCTTTTCCCTTCACCGCCCCTCATCACTGCCATCCAGATGAGCAAATATTGACCCACGACCTCCAAAACAACGCATACGCTCCCTCTTCCGCGCTGTGAAACCCCAAAGGAATGTCCTGGGGGAAGAGAAGGGCCGGTACCTTTCCCCCGTTGGTAATAAGCTCAAGTTATAGAAAGATCATTTCCGGCTTCCTACCGTGACTTATTAGCGTGATGGCTTAAAAAAAAAAAAATCACTCAGACTAATGGCCTCTCAGGCAAGTGGGGAAGAATGATGACGTGGCTCCTTCCTCTACCTGCGCCTCTCCCGGGCTGGCAGGCGGTTTGCTGACACAACCCTTCTGGGCAGCAGTGCATGCAGGTAATTGTTGGCAGAGCAGGCTTCACACACGTCTATCCAGCCCTGGTGCTCAAACAGAGGCTGGGCGGTGGCTCCAAATAAGGAAGGGTCGTCTGTGCACGAGGTAAGCCATGAGCGAGGCCGCTCGCTGTTTCTCCCTTTGCGGTCCGTCCTACTTATGTGTCTGCACTGTGATCCGGAGCCTCTGCTGGCCAGGACTTCCGCCCGCCCTCCTATCCCTGGGGTCAGAGCATGCTCTCCCTTAAGGCAACGAGTGGCCCTCTCGCACAATTAAGCTCTGAGCTGAGGAGTCTTCCTCGTTCCACTTGTGGAATCCGGTTTGGCTCAGCCCTAGGCCCGAGGACTGAAAGATCCCAGGTTCAATCCCAGTCAAGGGCATGTACCTTAGTTGCGATCCATCCCCGGTAGGGAGTGTGCGGGAGGTAGCTGATCGATGTGTCTCTCTCATCGTTGTTTCTGACTCCCTGTCCCTCTCCCTCTCCGTAAAAAAATGTTTTAAAAATATATAAAAAATAAAAAAGCTGAAACCACTTGTAACCCTGATATATGCAACAATACAGAGAACAGTGTAGTGTGTTCTCTGCAGCTGACCAGTTGGCTACGGCCCACAAATCTCACGCATGACCTCCGGCAGCTGAAGGAAGTGATGACTAAATATCACAATGGTCACGTTCAACCAGCCACACAAGACGGCTCCACTCCAGTTAATACAGCCAGGCTCCCCACCCCCCCTCTCCCCGGCCACGTATGTTCAGTGAAACAACCAAGATCATATCTGATCAGGAAATGCACGTCCATGACGCCGGCGGCGTAGAAACCAAGTTCAGTATCAACTGTAGGACAGACTGGTGAGAAAGAGTTTTGCTTTTCTGCCAAAGTAATCAGGACCAAAGTACCATGGGGAAGTTTAAGGCCAGGCCACCATGAGAAGTGAATGCTGATCTACATTTACAAACGCAAGGGACCGCCCGCAGTCCCTCATTCCTTCCTAACTCGAAGGCAGGCAGGCAGATAATTTCCTAAGGACAGCATTTCCTAGCCCACTGAGCCAGACGCCCATGTTATTGGCGCAATAAAGATAATGTCCAGAGTGACTGTCTGAGAAGCAATCACAAATGGCTTTTTTTTTTTTGCACACAATTAGCGACGGAATTGAGAACCACTTTCTTCCTAATAGAAAATCAGCAGCCACAGAGTGGCCATTGAGATTCACCACAGTGATTTCGGCCAGCAATGCTCTTTTTAATTTCTGGAGAGTTCTCTCCCCGGGCAGTCTCAGCACTCCAGAATAATGAGCAAACAGTAAACGGGGCGGCGCTGCAATTTATGGTCTCCCCAGGGCCCCCCCCCCAACCCCTCCCGCTCGGGAGGGACCGCTCACCCCATGACATCTCATCTTGCAATCTCTTGTATTAAGAAGATGGATGGGTGTGGTGTGAAAGTAAATGGTGGATGTGCTTCAAATTCAGACAAGTCTGTGCTTCAAATCAGGGTCCTGCCTCACAGACAGCTTTCTGTCCTGAGCCAGGCATGGCAGCCCTTACCCCTTCACCTTCTCCAAAACCACCCTTCCCCGCGCTTTTACAAAAACATCCCTCCTGACTGTATCCTGCATATGCTTGGGATCTTATTCCTTTATCTTTTGCTTTGGGTTTTGTTTTGTTTTGTTTTGTTTTGTTTTGTTTTTTTTTAAACTCCCAGGCAGATTTTTGTTTCCTCTGTGAAAGCATCAAGCCTCAGACCCAAGTCAACCCACATCCCCAGGACACGAAAGCTGCCTTGGGGTTGTAACCCTCACCGGAAAGGGACAAACCAGCTATTAAATAAAATAAATAAAACAGGGAGCCGACCTTATCAGGGGCCTGCGGGCTTGCTCTCTGGCCCGACTGACCCCGGGCGGCGCGGGGAGCGGGAAGAGGGGAGTAGCCGGTTTGCAGGGAGCAGCCCAGCTCTCTGGAAGGCGCCCAGGGCCGCCCTGAGCGCAGAGCGAGCGCTGAATTCCAATCAGCCCTGGAATGGCTCGGCTTGGAAGCCTCCTTCTGGAAAACCCAAGTCTAGGGCGACTTTCCACCATAAGAAAGAGGGCGGGAATGGCCCAGGGGACAGAGCCCGGGAGCTCCGGGGGGGAGGAGACGCTGGGAGCGTTGCCCGGTGGAGCTGCTACACAGAAACTTTCTCCTGCCCTGAGATCAGCTGAAGGCTGAGGTCTGCAGAGCTGGCGGGTCTGGGCGGGGGACACACTCGGAGACGGGGCCGGGGCGCGGGGCCTCACCTGTTCCAGCGGGCCACCTTCCTCCGGTAGTAGCGCAGCGCCTCCGGGCCGGCCAGGAGCCAGTCTTCCGGCGGCTCCTCCGGGACGCTGTACAGCGGGTGGGCGAAGAGGGCCTGCAGCTTGGAGCTGGGGCCGCCGGGGTCACCGCGGTCGCGCTCGGTGCCCGGCGGGGCCCGGGAAAAGTTGTGCGCGGCCGCGCGGGGCTCCGGGGCGGCGGCGCGGCGCGCGCACGGGCAGCTCGGCGGGCGCTCGCGGGGCCGCAGCCGGCGCCGCACGCGCGGCCACAGGTGGAAGTAGAGGTCGGCGGACAGCAGCGCGCCCAGCAGCAGCAGCGTCAGCAGGCGGTCCCGGCGCAGCCCGGGCATGGCCCCGCCGGGGACCCGGAGGGGCGCTGGGCGCGGAGGGCCGGGCGGGGTCGGGCGGGCCGGAGAGCTCCCCGCGCGGGATGGTAACTTCTCTTTGGAGGGGCGGCGCCCTTGAACTTAGGAGCCGGTGCAGGGGCTGCGCGTCTGGGGGCGTCGGCGGGGAGTGGAGACCGGGGGGTGGTGTCTCCTTCTCTCCCCGCACCCGCCCGCCCCGGAGCCCGCGGCAGGTGAAGGGCCGGGGTGGGGCGCCGGCGCGGCTGTCCCCGCGGACGGACGGGCGATGGCGGGGCCGGGCGGGCACAGCGCGGGCGCGGGCGGCGCGCTCGCCTCTAGGAGGAGCCAGGCGCCCGCGGAGCCCGGGGCGTCTCTCTCCGGAGGATGGATGCTGCCGCCCGCGGCTGCTGCGGCTGCTCCCGCGGCTCCTTCTGCGGGCGGGCGGCGGGGACGCCCGTGCCCTCGGCTCCAGCGGGCGAGCTGGTCTGCGCGCCCGGCTCCTGGGGGCGGAGGGAGCGCCGGCCGCCCCCGCCCGGCCCGGCGCCGCACCCCAGCCCCCTCCCCGCTGGCACCTGCCTCCGGCGCGGCCCGCCCGCCGCCTCCGATCCCTCCGCCGCCCTGCCCTGCCACCTGGCCGCCCGCTCTCCCCGCGCCCCGGGCCCCTGCCCCCCGCGCCCCGGGCCCTCCACCTCCCAGCCCAGGGTCTGCCCAGGCCTTTGGAGGGCTCAAGCGGCGTGTGTGCGTAAAACCTTTGCTTTCCTTTCTTTCTTATTTTATTTTTTTAAATATATTTTATTGATTTTTTACAGAGAGGAAGAGGGATAGTTAGAAACATCGATGAGAGAGAAACATCGATCAGCTGCCTCTTGCACACACACACACACACACCCCACTGGGGATGCGCCCACAACCAAGGTACATGCCCTTGATCGGAATCGAACCCGGGACCTTTCAGTCCGCAGACCAACGCCCTATCCACTGAGCCAAAAACGGTTTCGGCTCTTTTTATTTTATTTTTTAGGAAGAACGACAACTCCCTGAAAGCCTTTCTCCTGTGAGATTGGCCGGATGAGTGTGTGTTGCCTGTTTCTCCCCGCAGAGCACACGCTCGGTCCAGAGCCACGGTGGGTCTCGTGCGCGCGGCACGACCCAGGCGCTCGGACACCCCCGCCTCGGGGGTGAGAAAGTTTGGCTTTTCAAAAGAAGGCAGGCACCAAGTTTCACCTAGAATCTTGGCGATTTCCTGTTTGGACAGAGTTTGGTTCCAGCGGGGCCTGAGCTTTGCTTTGCAAAGAGGGAATTTTTCCTTGCACTCCAGGAGGGAGCGGCCCCTCCCCGCTGCCCCCGCGCTGAACCTTTGCCTCTGGCGTGGTGTGGAGGTAGTCCGCCCACATGAATCACCGCGGGACCCTGGCACGGGTCCTCCCCACCCCGTTTCCCTTTGGAGAAAGAGGGAGGCGGCAGTGGCGGGGGACCCCGGGCCTGGACTCCTGGTGTCTCCGCTCAATGACCTGAAGGAGAAGGAAGGCTGTTGGGCTGAAGCGGCGGCCCCACCCTCGTGCATGTTCAGGAAAGCACATCTCTGCCTGGAGCTGCTTGTCCAGGCGGCAAAGCTTCCCGTGCGCGTTAATCCTCCTTCCATCGCTGGAGTCATGGCCCCAAGACACACTTGGGTGGGTTCAGATCGGGGTTCTTCCCGTCTGTGTGTGGGTTCGTGGGTGACTCTTGCAGCCTTTGCCAGCCCCTCATCTGTAAATGAAGACAGCATCGAGCCTTCCCCACCGGGTCATTGTACGGCTTTCAGTGAATTAAAGTGTAGAACCAGCCAGAACCGGTTTGGCTCAGTGGATAGAGCGTCGGCCTGCAGACTGAAATGGTCCCAGGTTTGATTCTGGTCAAAGGCATGTGCCTTGGTTGCTGGTACATCCCCAATGGGGGGTATGGAGGAGGCAGCTGATCAATGTTTCTACCTCTCTACCCTTCCTCTCTGTAAAAAAAAAAGAATCAATAAAAATATATATTTTTAAAAAATAATAAAATGTCATATGTGTAATTGTTGCCTTATTGTACCTAATTTGATAGTTTTGTTTTTTTAAATACTCCCATTTAATTGTGCAGGAGAGAAAATTGTAATTGTGTAATGCTCTGAAATGTAAAAAAAACAAGCTGTAAGTAAGATCAACTAAATCCAAAAAACTTAACTTGTGGTCTCATATTCTGGTTTCTGCTATCTTTTTAAAGAGATGGTTGAACCAACATGTTGAACTTTGATGTTAAGAATAAGCAGGTTAATAAAGGTCAGCAGTCAAGAAAGTCAATTTTTTTGAAAGGAGATACAGGATAGAGGGCAAAAACTATGTGTAACAATAACCTTGACTTAAATTAGTGTTTACATTTTGCATCGGGAGAAATCCATACACTCGTGTGTAGCTGATTTCAGATCGTGCAATTCTTCTAAGCAGCATCCTGTACATTATGTGAGTTTTTATACCAGAATAACAACAGATGTGTTTTCCCTGCTTCTTAATCCCTTGACAGCACATCTATTTTCAGAAGGAGGGAAGTTGGGATTTGGGGGGTCTTTAGAAAGCCATGTCTTAAAGTATTTTAACTGTTGTCTGGCAACTCATAATCCCATATGTGAGTCCACAACTCATGGGGGAGACAAACATTAAACAAATGTTACACAAATCAATATCCTGGACGGGCTCAAAGGTCAGCGTCAGAACATCAATACAGCGGAAATAAATAGAAATGACTCCAAAAAGCTTTGAAAACTAGCACAGGTCCTGACTCAGTCACGTTGGAGGGGATGGAGAACTGAGAATTCCACTAGTGAGGTCTGTGATGACCCTCTACATTTCCAAACATCCTTAAGACAGACCTCTCTCTTCACAAAGCGTCTCACCTTCTCCCTTTCTTCCCCTCCATGTCCCGCCTCCACAACTCCACCCTACATGCTTGTACCTCTTCCCTTTATTCCATCACTCCCCAATCCTTCCAGATGTATGGCAATCTGCTCTATTCCTACTGGCTGCCAGTCTCCTTTTCATTTCTTAAAAAATAAATTAATTTAAAAAATTATATAATATAAAAGCGTAAGGGACCGTTATGGAAGAACAACCAGTTGCTATGGTGCACACTGACCACCAAGGGGCAGATGCTCGATGATATATATATATATAGAGAGAGAGAGAGAGACAGAGAGACAGAGAGACAGAGAGACAGAGAGAGAGAGTAGGTCCTCGAGTTACATCAGAGATCCATTCCTAAGGTGCAACGTAAGGCGATTTTTGCCATAAGTAGGAACCCACCTACATAAGCACCTACATCACTCACGTGGAGCACATACACAGCGGTAATAAAATGAAACCGTGAAAACAAATTTTAAAAGGAAGATGACAATTCCTGACCTTTTACTTGTGGTTAACAAATAATAAAAAACAAAGCACATATATACATACTTCAACATGATGGGCATATATATATATATATATATATATATATATATATATATATAAATAAATGGGAGATGGCGACGTAGGACGACGTCGTCCAGCGTAACCTGAGGACTGCCTGTATACAGAGAGGAAGGAAGAGGGACCTAGAAAACCTGATGATGAGAGAGAATCACTGACTGGCTGCCTCCTGCACGCCCCCTACTGAGATCGAATGCCAAACCAGGGCATGTGGCCTTGACTGGCCTCAAACCCGGACCTTTCAGTCCACAGGCCGATGCTCTATCCACTGAGCCAAACCAGCCGGGGCCTCATTTCCTCTGGATTGCTCAGCTCTGCTGAAGAAGGCAACGCTGAGCCACAGACGCGTGTGTCATCAGAGGGCTGGGTTGCCCTTTTCATAATGTATGTATATTTAGTTATATGAACAATACACAAACATTTCATCTTTGTATAATATTTGGACCCTGTGCAACATTTTAGAGTAAAAAGTGGGGACCCCTCTCCTCTTCTCCCTCTCTCATTTCCTTCCCCGGAGGTACCACTATTGGCTGGTTACAACTCCTTTCAATATATTGTCCACTCAAATAACTTTCCCTCTACCTTATTAGTAAATAAAGGAATGCAAATGGAAACAATGGAAAGGGATAACCTCTTATCATATTTTCATCGCTACAAATGAAGAAAATATTCAGAACTGGCTAGGCCCTAGGGCTTGGGAAGGAATTTTACGTTGGAGCCACGGCTCTGAAAGTTAATTTGGAAACGTAAACACATTGAGATTTGATGTCAGTCAGGAGATTGAACACGTGCCAGTTATTTGAATGAGAGCATTTTAATCAAAATAATTGTTAACGAGTGAAAGTAACGCCTTGAAAAGACCCAGAAGTTAGCATGTGCAAAACGAAGCCATTACTCATAGGCTGGGAAAAGTGGACAGGGAGGACTCAAGGACGAAGAGGGTTCCAACACCCCAGCCCAAGGTCGAGATGTAGGCTTCTCTGAGGACCACGTGTCCGCCACTGGGAACCCAGCCAGCGGTGGTGAGGCAACTCTCCCCGTAGGAGGCCATGCGCCCATGGGAAGGGGAGGCAGAGCCTGAGGCCATGGCCAGAGCTACTAGGAGAGTGTGGCCCCAGAGAGTGGTTGGAACAGGCCTGTGGGGCTGCTGGGCTTCCCTGCCGCATGACAGATGGAGGCCTGGGACCCAGGATGCCTTCCTGCCACGCTCAATGGGTTGCAGTGTCCCTCTGGCGCCCTCTATGGACAAAGCCTGTCACTGTGCCAACTGGTGGAGGAGAAATGTTTGCAGGGTCCACCCAGCTCCAGGCTCTCAAAGCTGCGGAAGGAAGGGCGACACAACACATTCACAATTGGCAGAGACTTCGACTTCAGAATTCCATGGGTTTTTTGTTGTTGTTGTTGTTGTTTTTTAATTAAGGACACACTTAAAGGTGTGCATCGGACTTAGATAAAGAATGGTTCTTGCCAAAACCGGTTTGGCTCAGTGGATAGAGTGTTGGTCTGCAGACTGAAAGGTCCCAGGTT